AATACTACCTACTTGTTTTTAAAAACATAATACAAAAAGTTGAAGTAAAAAGTAAAAGGCTGCCATGCTCGCTTCGGCAGCACATATACTAAAATTGGAACGATACAGAGAAGATTAGCATGGCCCCTGCACAAGGATGACACGCAAATTCGTGAAGCGTTCCATATTTAAAAAAAAAAAAGTAAAAGGCTGCCGCTCTCCCATACCCAGAGGTAACCACCGTTAACAGTATCTTATGTATCCTGCAGATACATTCCTTCTGAGGATGTAAGACTATATATTCTTTTTCTTTAGATCTACCAAAGTCATCATTCTGTAAGAGTCAGAATGAAAAGTTCCCATAAGCTAGCTTTCATTTTTTTTCTCTGAAACTCCCAGTCATTTCTTCCCTGGAATGCAAAGATACGCAGGCCATGAATAGGCTGTTCACCTCTCGCTGGAAGCAAGTGGTTGAAGCTCAGATGGTACAAAATATTATGACTGCCTCGGGGCACAAGGGGTTCGAGTGAGCCGGGAGCTAGGTGAGCCATCTGTCAGGTGCTGAATGGGAAGGTTGTCTGAGCCCCGCCACGTTCTCACCACCCTGGGATGCCTTGAATAAAGGTCTTCAGTGTCCTCTCCTCTTCACAGGGTCAGGAATTAGGGAGTGCCTTCTGTCTCCTGTGCCACCCCCTGCAGGCCCCAGGAGAGCTTGGACTCATGCCTGCTCTTACCATGTGACTCCCAGGCTCCTTACCTACTTACCCACCTGGGCAGACCTGAGGAAGAGTCAGTGGGAGCAGCTGGGTGACCCCTCCTCTTTTTGCTTTTCCTGATATATGAGACTTACACACAGGGTCCCAGAAAAGGACTGTGGCCTCTAGAATAAGCCCTGATTCAGTCTCACTGAATAAATGAAACTGTGCCAGGCACTTCCTTTAATAGGCCTTAATTTCTTCATCTACTAAATGGAATTAAGAACAATGACTAACCTCATGGAAAGAAAAGATAAATCATCTCTTTCATAGTTGTCCTAGCCTCATGGGGCTGGGTTTCTTAAGAACAGAGGCCATGTCTTATGCAGATCTCCATTTAATAAGTGAATGAGAGGTATTATCATCCCCAGTTTATGCTTAAATCAACCAGCTAAACTCCTCCTGCCTCAGGCCTGGCCATCCAGCCACTTTTCACTTATACAGCCATCAGGTACCTAAAACGAAGACGCGGACAGATTTTTTTTTTTAATTGAAATACAGTTGATTTACAATGTTGTGTTAGGTTCTGGTGACAGACTCTTTTTATGCAGGGCCCTCTCCCTGCTTCCCTCACAGCCGCGGTTGGGGAGTGAAACGGGCTGAGCGTGGACAAAACCGGGCGTGGGTTTTCTCCGCCTCGCGCAGCGCCTTGCTCCACGCATGCGCAGAGCGGAAGTGGGGGGGCGTGCTCGCCGTCAGGATCGCTGCAGGCTAGGACTCTTTCTCCAGAACCTTCGGTTTACCGCCGGGAGGCCGGCAGCAGGTGTGTCCCTGCTGACAAGTGTGTGAAGCAAAACAGGTTTCAAGGGAGGGGAGGCGAGGCAACGACTGGGGTTGCCTTAGAAGGAAGGGGGTGAGGTGGGTGTCGCGCCGCGAAGTGTGGTTAGGAACAAAACCTTGGGAGATTCCCTCTCTCCCTGGCCTCCCCTCCCGCTCTCCACTGAAAACCCCTGTCCTCGTTCACAACCGGAATCCCCCCGCTGGTGGCTCACCGCGCGGGGCTGAGAGCGCCCCCAGGTGACACGCTCCCTCACGGGGGGGGGGGTGGGGGGGGCGCCGAGCCGCGGCAGCCCCGGAGCGGCTCCGTCCCAGCTGACTCTGTTTGCCTCTTTATCCCCCTCCGGTTCCGATGTGCAGTCCACTCCACTGTCTTGTTAAAGCCCCCACCATTGACTTTGTCGTTCGCGGCTCTCCCCACCACCCACCCCACCCCCACCCCGGCCCCTGGAACGCCTGAGGAGTCAGGCACGTTCTCCCCACCTTCCCCTCTTGTTTAGGGTGTGTGTTTCCAGTCTCTCAGATGGGAGAATAATCAAAATCACAGACACGGAGGAAACTGTACAAAGAAATCTGGAAACCTTCCAAAGGTGTCATCCTGGCCTACAGTTTCTCTGAGTCTCTTCCTGAGTCCTGAGTCCTCTAGTACGCCTCACTTATCCCCCAGGATGGAGAAAACGGTTAGACCTTCACCTCCCTCTGCCCACTTTGAAGATACTGTCGGAGCTGAACAGTAGAAGCTGTATTCCCTCTTTCATCCAGTATTTATTTATTTATTGAGTAACCGCCCTAGCCCAGGCGCTGTCCCAGGTATTGGGAATACGGTGGTGATCGTGGTCCTTACTCATGGTGCTTACAGCCCAGGGAATGAAGACAGGTAATAAACAACCAAATTAACAAGAAAGCCTGATAATCCTCCAGTGGCATAAAAATGACAAGTGGGGGACTGTGATGCAGGGTGACAGGAGAGGCCTCTGAGGTGCTGTTTTAATTTGAATTAAAACCTGAGGGTCAAAAAGGAGTCAGTCCTGCAGAGCCGTAGGGGAGAAGCTAGGCAGAGCTGGCAGTGGCAGAAGAGAAACAGCAAGTGCAAAGGCCCTGTGTCTGGAAAGAGTTGGATGTATCCGACGAGTAGAAGGAAGGCCAATGTGGCAGCCAAGTGTGCAGGGGGACAGTGACACAGACGGAGTTGAAAGGGTAAATGGGGTCCAGAAGACACAGGGTTTAGGGGTTTATAGTAACGAGCTTGTTTTGATAATAAATGCCAGGGGTTTTAAGTAATAGAGGGACATGACCTGATACTTATTTTTGACAAATCCCTCTGGCTGAGTGGGAAAACTGGAGGTGCTTGGTCACATCTTCAAAAACGGTGCCCTGATAGGCTTTCTCACCTGGTCTTAAATGGATAATTTACAGCTGAAGAGAAAGATGACCCCCCCCCCAATCTCTGCACTAGCAAGGCTTCCTAGGGGGATTGGAGTTAGAGCCCAGACCTGTTCCCCAGCCTGTGTTGGGAGTCCATTCTTTCCAGGGTGTTGGGTGCAGGAAGAAGAGGAGCAGGAGCTAAGGTCTGGAATGGAAGGAGACACAGAAAGGCAGGAAAAGCCAGAGCACTGGTGAGGACAGGAAAACGGTCTTTTCAGTGCACCCTCAACATGGATCTTGGACCCTTGGGACCTCCTTTCATGACAGTTTTGAGGTGGGCTTACGACCATGCCCCCTATATCTAGTGTTACTTTCCTAATAAGTCTGTAAAACAGAAATCTCTAGACATTCCTGACTTCTTTGAGGTCCTCAAGCCTTGGGATGTTAGTTGTGATTGGGACAGAATCAAATATGCAAAAAAAAATGTTGTCAATATTAGGGCCACCAGGAGGAATGTGACAACAGAAGTCTGACTGAAAATCACCAGATAACTGTCCTGGCCAGCACTCTGTCCCCGACACAAGGCTCTCGGCAACCCTTGGTGCACTGACCTGCTCTTGGGATGCGAAATCTACAGAATTGCTGAGAAATACTACAAGAAGTGTCTGGGGAGGCACCCCCCAGCTCCTGCCATCTTTCCACAGTGCTTTTGTCATTTCCAAGCAGAGGAAGCCTGGAAGGTTTCCAGGGGAAAGAGAAACAGGAAGCATACCATCTCCAAGGAGCGGACAGATCACTTGCAATCAGACCACTTGGCTCTCATAGCATTTCCGAGCTCACTCTCAGAGAAATGCTCTCCCTCGTCAACCGAGGCTCTGCTAAGAGGATTACTCCCACTGCCTCACCAGGCAGAGCTACACAGAAGACTACTGAAGTCTGCATCCCTCAGCTTAATGCCTCTCCATGATTTCAGAATCCAATTTTCAATTGTCAGCTGGTAATTTCCTGGATACCCCACCAGCATCTTTCAGTCAACAGGTCCCAAACCAACTCATCTTCCCCTTTCCTGGCTTTCCTGTTTCTGTTAATGGAATCACTGTTCCCTCTGCTACACTGGCTGAGTCATCCTTGACTCATTCTTCTCTCTTATTCTCTAGATCAAATCGACTGCCAAATCATGTAGTATCTGTTTCCGTGATGTCACTTGAGTCGGTCCCCTCCTTCCTACTGTCACCATCCCTCTCTGGTGTGAGCTGTCATTACTTCCCTCTCAACAGGAGCATCTCACTTACTCCTTCACTATTAACCCACCTTCATACTGCTGCGGACACAAGGCTCCTCAAACACACACTAATCCCATCACGCTCTTACCAGCAGCCCGACACGGCTCCCACTGCTGCCACATTCAATATAAACCATCTTTTAGCTTTATAAGTCATAAAGTCACTTTCCCAGTACCCCACGTTCAAGCTAATTTGCTCATTTCTGGTGTAGGACATGACTTTTTTTCCCCTTTCTTGAACCCTCAGTAAATGATCTTGCAAAAAAATAAGATAACTTTTATTACTAAATCCTGTATTACCTGCATTTATCTGCTTGTTTTATCTCCTTCGAAGATTTGATATTCCTGTATTATTTGTCTCACATTTAGTCTTGCTTCCTCTAATACTTGAGCACATGCACATACTAGGCACTGTTCTTCAAACCCTTGTAGGAAATAATTTAACTCTCACAACAATTCTAATTGTATCCCCATGTTACCAGTGACAAAACTGAGATGCAGAGAAGTTGAGTAATTTCCTGAGGTTCCATAACTAATCACTGGCAGAACCAGGATTCAGATTCACATGGTCTGGCCCTGGAACCCAAGCTCTTAACCACTGAGCTCACATTTGTTAGGGATGACAGCTGCATTCCTGCTTTGGAGTTTGGATGTTTTATAACTGAACTGAAGCTCAAGTTGCATGTCCATTAATGGTCAGAAATATGAATGGTGGGCTGAGTGTGCGATTGTAATTTGATATCGGGAGCTGATTTCAGGTGTTTCCCAGGAAATCAATGACGCTGAGAGCTATCTGTGTGCTATTTTTTCCTACTTGTTCTTTTTTTTTCTTCTTATTCCAGTACATGGGCTGTATTGAAGTGCTGCAATCAATGAGGTCACTGGATTTTGGAAAGAGAACCCAAGTTACAAGGTAAGAGAATAAAAATGGGACAGGCTTTGAGGACGATAGTTTAAAAGTCACAAGAGTTTCTCCCCACAGGAGTTTCATGCAAGTCTTCAAAGGCACCGTGGGTACTTTTTCATATGGCTGGAAGCTAGAACACAGCCTGGTGACCTTGGATGAGCATCATTGCCTCATCATGTGCAGGATTTCCCAATTGTGTGATGGAGAATTTGCATTTCATGTGAGAACTTATAAGATGATGCAGTCATAGAAATAGCTGGCTTCCCAGATACTAGGAAGTATTTAGAATTATATCTAGAAATGGGACATTTCAGGGTCTCAAATCTATTGAAGAAGTAGCTGAAAATAAGAACAAGGAAGAACTTTCTACATCAGAAAGTCCAGGTTCTCTCCATTTATGGCCTCCCTGACACAAGCACTTGCTTCCTCCTTGTTTGGCTCTCCTTCCTCCATGTACAGAGAGCTGATGGAAGAGTTGAACCAGGGGGAGCCTTACCCAGGGTGGTCCCAGGCAGCTCAGGGAAAGAACCAGAATCATTATTACACAGAGTCCAAGTCAGATGCAGAAACACAAGGCAAGGTTCACTAAGGCCAAGTTCAAAGAAAGGATGAAAAGATTTGAATAATTGAGTGCTGAGACTGGTAGCTGGCAAAATTGTGAGATGAGAAGACTGGATTAACATGAATGATTCAGGATGAAGACTTGGGCACCTGTTGTATGTGGTGCCAGTGTGTGTCTCAGGGCCAAGCCACAGAGCCTGCCTGCATCCATGGTTGCAGGCCACCTTTACCAAATAGTCTCCTTTATCAATATTCTCCCAGATAATGCCTTTATCAATATTCTCATTATGAAGAAAGGGTAACTTTTCCTAATGCTCATCCTATGGAATTCAAGGCCCAGAAAAAGTGTCCTCTTGACCAAAAGGTCTGGGAAGAAGAATCATTCTGCCACTCAGGGGAGTCACAGTTGACAACAGTAGATTAAAGACCTGGAGAAGTCCTGTGCTGTCTTTTAAAAAATGCTAACTTTATCTCAAGATTTTCTAAATTTATTTGGCTCCAGAATCCTTTTTCCATGTAACATAAATGAACGCCCTGTGTTACCTCTAGGATTCCATGAAGGGAACTTTAAGACATGTTGTTGTAGACACTCTTGTTGATGATGCATTCAAATTGCTTTCCGAATTTCTTACCCATCCTTTGTATTCCCTCAGGACTCAAACAGATGAAATCTAATTCTTTTTTTCCCCCTATATTCTTGGTATCTATTTCAGTCCTTGGCACCTAGAAGAGGCTCAAGGGGTATTTATGGAATAAATGCATGGTTCCACCTGACCACCTTCCAGGCTATGTTTCCCCCTCCTTTTACATCTTCTCTTTCACATTGTTAGGACCTTCAACTATCCTTTAAGCAACAGGGTTTCTAGATTACTTCCAATCCTCTTAGCCCTGCTTCGCACACATTTCCAGTTTTATTTCATTCTGATGATCCTTAATTTGGAGAAAGTCCTTCCTCCAATCCTGAGCAGGTTACAGATGGGAGGAAAAGGGTCGCTACCCCAGGTGTCTGGATTGGGGGCCCAGGACAGGAATAACAGTGTCCTTACCTGAGGATGACTGATTTTCTGTTTATCCCCTTATTCATTCATTCATTGACTCATGCTCCTTCACTTGAATAGGTATGGAGTGCTCATTAAGTGTCTGAAACTCTTCAAGAATTAAGGATGCCGAAGCCTCATGGAATTTACTTCTAGCTGGGGAAACAGACTATGGCAAGGAAACAAATAAATATACAATCTACTTTTAGGTAGGGCCATGACTGTTGTCATCAAGCAGGGAAAAAGGATAGAGATGTATGGGCTGGACTTTCACATTTTATTTTATTTTCTAGTTCTGAAATCGCTGTATATTTACTTAGGACATTTGGAAAATACAAATAAATATGAGAAGGAAAATCATTCATAATCTCACCTGGACGTGATATCTGCTGACATTTTGTGCTCTGGAATACCTTTCTGATCTTTCCTTCCATGCATGAGCTGACAATGATTTTTGTAGAAAATCTGAAAAATATTAGATACTATTTCTCCCACATTGACCATTTTCCTGTTGCTGAATATTCACAAGCATTTTTAAATTGTGGTAAAATATGCATAACATAAAATTTACCATTTTAACCATTTGTAAGTATACAGTTCAGCAGCAGGACGTACGTTCACATGGTTGTGCAGCCATCGCTACCATCCATCTCCAGAACTTTTTCCATCCTCTTGAATTGAAACTTTGTACTCATTAAATAGTAACTTCTCATTCCTGGGGCAACCACCATTCTACTTCCTGTCTCTATGACTATAACTACTTTAGGTACCTCATGTAGGTAGAATTATATGGTATTTGTCCTTTTGTGAGTAGATTATTTCATTTAGCATAATGTCTTCAAGGTTTATCACTAGGTTAAACAATAGAAATATCCTGAAGGTGTTAGATGCTTCTTGCTAGATTGTTCTACGGAAGAACTGTACTAGTTGGTATCCTCCCAGCCATGTAACTAGTTTTTGTTAGTATCTATTTAAAAAAGTATATTTTTGAATTTGTAAGCCTGTGTTTTCCTATTGTTTAATAAATGGTAAAAGATTATTTTTTTTCCTCTGCCATAAAGATTCAGTTTATGACTGATGTGCAGATCCAAGGGGAGTTGTCTAGCATAGCATCCAAATGGTATTCCTTGTCGATGTGTCTGTTTGAGGTTCAGGTATGGCAGACTGTGCTCTGGGCAGGTTTGTGGAAGCTTGAGGGTGGCTCACTTTCCCTAAAACCTTTCATTCCCACCCTACTTAGCAAATATTTCCTCTTCTTCTCTTTTAGTTTTTTTCTTCTTTGTCTCCTTCTCCTTTCTTCTCTCAACTTACATACACTTTCACGTTCAGCCACTATTCAAGGTGCTTTGTTACCAGTTGTCTTGGATGATATTAATACAACTATTGAATCAGGTTTCAGATGGTTTAAAATGTGAATTTCACGTATTCACAAAGTTTCATTTAACTCATAATCCTACCTAATCCAAGAAAAGGACCACTTAGAATTCTAAAAGAAAGAACTTTATTTTGTGTGACCACAGTGACCTCCTGACACGTACTGTCAAACAGAAAATCAGTCAAGTGTGAATGCTGAGAAACTCATGTAGCTAATTGCCACTCCAGATACAAACAGGTGTGTTCAGGCTGATGTCCCAGTTGTGGTGGTAGTTGGTCTTCCCATCTCTATACTAGTTAGTACATTATTCCGGATAATAGGGAGACAGCAACATGAAGTTCCTGGTAATAAAGGAGGAGTCATGTTTAAGATACAACAGTTGGATCAGTGTTTGAAACAGGAGAAAGATGGCATCAAATTCTTGACTTTATGTGGGGCCTTTCTGCCACTTGTTTGAGGGCTGAATCCACAGGACCTAGAACACAGAAAAGACTCAAACAAAGCAGAGAAAAAGAAAAGGACAAGGAAGCCATGTACTTTGTTGGCAGTTCCCTGGATTATACCCTTTTCAAAGCTCTCATCCCACTTGACTCCAGATTGAGTCCCCAGGGAGCCCCTGGAGTGGCTTTTACTCTTGTTCCTCCTCTAATTCTCACCCAGGCATTTATCCACTTGACTGATTTAGGGCCGGATCTTAATTTTTAGTAATCGAGTGTTCATGCAAAAAGACAAAGGAGGAGGTTTTTCCTGATAAAAAAGAGAAACAAGATCATTAGGCAAACAAAGACTCACAGTGACGGTTGTCATCAAATGTCTGACAAACAGTATCAAAAGGAGATAAGAGAAGAGGGAAATGAAAATCGTACTAAGGATGACATAGCCACTTCTCTCTCCTATAAAAATGTTCTCATCATGATTTTTATTTTTTATTTTTTGGGAGGATTCAAAACGTTTACTAGGATTATCTCATTTAATCTTCGTTAAAAACTCATTCTGCTAATGAGGAAAAGACATTTAGATTAAGTGACTTGCCCAAGGTCACACAGCTAATAGGTACAAAGAATGGAACTTTAGGCTAGGGCTACTGGAATCAAGAAATTTTGCTCTTTGCCACTATTATAATATGTCATGATGGTTATATACTTTTCCCTTTCATTATCATTGTAGAGAAGTCCATTAATAGGTTTCATAATATGGAACGATCGTTGAATTCCTGCTGTAAACCCTTCTTAATTGTCACATCATCATAGCTAGAAGTTACGTACAACTTGTTGATATTTTATTTCAAATTTTTGCATCCTTATTGTAAGTAAGCTTCCTTTTTTGAACTCCGCTCATGTAGTTTCGGTTTCAGGAATAGGTTAGCCTCCTGAGGGTGACTTCAGAACCTTTCCATCCTTTCTGTGCTCTGCAGCAATTTAAAACAATGTTGGAATTATCTGCTACTTGAAGAGTCTTTGTTCTAGCCCCAACAACTCTCTGGGCCTGTTAGCTGTTTGTTTTTTTTTAACCTCCATTGTCAAATCTTCTTTTTTATTAGTCTTTTCAAATTTTCTATCCCTTGGTAAAATAATTTGGAAGATTTTACCCCCAAAGTTGGGCATTTTGTCTAGAGTTTTCAAATGTATCACATGATGTTGGCCACAGTGTTCTCATCTCATTTTCAAGTAGCCTCTATATATGTGATTCTGCTCTCTTCTTCATTTCTAATTTGTTTGTGTGGTCTTTTTAAATCAGATTTGCCAGAAGTTTGTTTATTTTATTGCTTTTTTTTTAAAGAACAAGGTTTAGTTTTATTGTTCAAATCTACTTGGTTTTTGGTTTTCTAATTCATTTATTTGTCCTTTATCTTCAGTATATCTTTCCACCTTTTGTTTTAAGTTTATTTTATGCTGTTCTTTCTTTAAGTTTTTAAGGTTATTCTTTCATAATTTGTTTATTTTTATTTTTTCTTCTAGTTTTATTGAGATATAATTGACATGCAGCACTGTGTAAGTTTAAAGTGTACAGCATAGTGATTTGACTTATCTACA